GGAGCCTACATCGTGTTGAACACCCGGATGCAGATCATCAGTGGATAATTTTCCAACTTGAGCGTTCAGATCCCCAGCCAGCACAACAGTCTCCGAGCTTCCTCTGTGGCGAAGGAGCTGGGCCAGTTGGCGGTAGTAGTCGTCTTTCACCGGATCATCGCTAGTATTTGTGAGTGCGTTGACAGCGATGACGAATAGACACCTGTTAGTCCCATGCGGCTTCGAAGCTTTGAAGGAGGCAGCCAATCGGACCGCATGCAACCGGCTAATGTTTGCATTCTAATCAACCAGATTACCTTCAGCCCGCCGACTCAGGGCAATACCAACATTGGCTTGACCGGTATTTGAAGCTGCGTCGTCACCGGGTAGGCGCAATGTGAAAGTGCTTCTGGTGTCGCCTGAAGGGGATCACAAAGTGAGCACAGAGCCCAAGTACTGCAGGCACGTCTCCGATAACTAGCCGAGATCAATCGTTTCTAATCGACCCCTCGCTCATGCACTACAATAACTAAACACATAGGTCTATTCCAGTACGAACGTCTTCTCTTCGGAATCAGTTCGGTCCCAGCAATATGCCAAAAGATTATTGACAACCTAATCAAAGATATTCCTTTCACTTGCGCCTATCTTGATTACATTCTAATTACAGGAAGTACAAACGTTCAAATTTTACAACCTCCACTGTGCTAGAACCTCTACAACAGCGTGGACACAGAGTGAAGAAGTCCAAGAGTAAGTTGACCTCATATTTCTTTTATTACCTTGGTTACCGCTACGATGAACGGAGTACACATGTTCGAAGACAAGTAAGGCCCATCATTGTACCATCTGAACCCAAGAATGAAGCAAAACTCAGATCGTGTTAGGGAGGATTACTCAATCTCGCCACTTCTTACCTAACACCACAACAGTATTTGCACCCTTGTACAAACAGTTGCACAAAAGTGAGTCCTAGCTATGTGGTCCGGATCAAAGAAAGGCCTTCACAGATGCAATAAGAGTGCTTAGCGCACCCCCCCCCCGCGTAGCTCGTGCATTTCGATCCCAGCCGGCATGTAGTGCTGCAGTGTGATGCTTCCCCATCTGTAGTAGGCGCAGTCCTTTTCTACCGGAAGGATGAAGATTCTCTTCCTCCAATAGCTTTTGCTTCTCGTACAACGCAATCCGCTGAAAGAAATAACTCCCAACTGAACAGAGAGGCTTTAGCGATTATGTGGGTAGTCAAGTGTTTGCAGCAGTACTACTTGGGATAACAGTTTGATATCTACGCCAACCATAAACCACTTCTTTCGCTTTTGGGTGAGGAGGAAGGAATCCAAAAGATGTCTTCGCTTCGAATGTAAAAGTAAGTACTACTTTTGAGCACCTGTAGCTACAAACTTTGGTATGTAAAGGGACAAATAATACCACTGCCGATGCACTGATTCGCCTTCCACGGCAACATGGCCCAAAAACGAATAATGAACGCATGTACACCATAAATTTGATGCACATTTTAAGGCACCAAACCGGAGTGACGTGGCGCAGCACCTGACAGATCGGTATCCTGTGTTGTTGATGGTGAAACGCTGCTTGATGACCGGTGGGACTACAAGCAGGTCAGACGCACTGAAACCATTCGTCTGTCAGAGTAATGTGTTGAGTCTATACAACGGCTGTATAGTTCGCGACCCGCGCATAGTTTCACCAGATGAACTACGGCCCCAGTTGCTGAGGGAGCTACATGACGCACACCCTGATGCGAGCAGAATGAAGGCGTTGGTACGTGGTTACTGTTGGTGCCCCAACATTCATTAGGATATAGAGCGTCTGCGGAAAAACTGTGAACCATGTCAGGAATACCAAAGGCAAAAATCTCCCGTCCAGATACGTCCATGGTGTTGGTCAGAAAGGCCCTGGTATCGGGTACACGCGGACTACTTAAGCCCAATCAATGGGATGATGTGTCTACTTTTGATTGCTGCCCATTAGAAATGGATAGAAGTACATCCAGTTCCACATTCGACTTCTGCAGCAACAGTTGCAAAAATTCACTCCATCTTCGCCATTTTCGTTATCCCAGAGGCGGAATGCACGACAATGGAACCCCATTTACCAGTGAAGAGTTTTAGCATTCTCTGGTTAACAACGGAATACAGCACATTAAGTCTGCGCCGTATCATCCCGCGTCGAAAGGGATGGCAGAAAGTGCACTCCAGACTGTTAAGCAAGGTCTCCTCAAACAGACTAATGGAACTCTACAAACGAAGTTGCATGGTATCCTGTTCTCTTACCACACGATACCGACTGAGTCGACAGGGAATTCACACGTGGAACTAATATTTGGTCGGCCACTAAGAATGAGATTGCACCTACGTTTTCCGAACCCTTGAAAGAGAATGGAGGAAATGGAGGACAAAATGTGTGGGGATACGAAGATGCTAGAGGAAAATTGTCTCAATGATTTTGACCTGGTATACACAAGACTGCCTCACGAAACATGTCCTCATCGAGTAATCAAACGCAGCTACAGCTAGAGGACGGCGGTGTGGTGCGCCGCCAATCGGAACATATCCGGCTAAGCTCAAACGAACCACATGAGCTGGATCAAAAAGCAGTTTATACTGACCCCAAAACGGACGGAGAATCTGATACACAAAAGCAAGCACCATAAACGGTTGCGGTAGAACCCCAATTAAAACGCTCAAACCGCACGCCTATGCCGATTGATCGGCATCAAGCGGATGTTTGCAGTCTTGACCAGGGAAGAGAGGGGTGTCACGTAAGTATCGATTCGTAAACACTGACCCTCACATGGTTGGTTAACATTGACCTTACCTTACCTTCTTCAGTTCATTGGTTTTTCTTTCCGGCTTTTCTAACCGCTGTATCGCAGGAAGCTTTTAGTAAATCGGTTCGATACTACGCGTGCGCGTTCTGTTCCCTTTATCTTCTGAGTTCCATACTTAACAGGGTGTGTTCCACTTGGGCGATCGTTCTCATTTGCCAAACGAGGTGTACCTACTACTAGGTCCCACTGCAGTGCTATCGGTTCCTGTGGTCTCTGAACGTTTCGGTGGTGTGTTCGCAAATTGTTGAGGTGCCTGACTCACCTTTTACTGTCGGGCATTATCTCACAGATGACTTTACCTGTTTTACCGATGACTGTTCCGCTAGGCCAGCTTTCCTGATCTTGGATATTTCGTACGTAAATCCTGAACACAAGGAGCCTGTTTATCTGCCCTTTTCTTGCCAAAACGCGAATACGTGTAAGTGCTTTACTGATTACATCGGCCGTTCAACGAACGAGTCCTCCTGACAATGTCTTTGGTCAGTTAGTTCATTTGTGCAAAATTCGAATACAACCATATGGCTGGATGCGCAAGACCTAAATATTTTTTCTATAAGATGCCAGTAACCACTGACGAAGAGAGAAAATCACTTTTGCTCACTGGTGACTTATATCCTGGCTTTAGCAAAGCAGTCCCTGGTCAAAAGGCATACACTCGCCCAACAAACTGGTGGTTCACCGCAGACAGATATAGGATTTACGAGGATCGAAATACATCCACAACTGCCTACGAATCTCTAACAACTGTGTGCGACCAGACATAAGCAGTTCCCATGGGACTTTTGCTGCCAGACTCGTCAAGTGGACCTTATTCTTATTGCTTTACGAGTCAGTCTGATAGCTCAAGTGCCAGCGTTGGGTGCCCTCGAACAGATCCACTCTGACGGAATGAGCGACGACATATTGTCCTCTGTCCACAAAAAGTATCCTCTGTAAACGTTTAGGCCATTTACGTCCCTTTCTCTTCAAGTTTCCTCTCTTTATTACTACTGATTTCATCCACGAAAATATCGAGGAGGCAAGACCATAATTAAATCCCCTCCAACTGGGCTGTTCAAAGTGAGCACATTAATTGCCGCGACCACTTGGTACGAATGGAAAAGAGACAGCTGCAAATTTGGACATTTACTCTTAGTACGAGGGATGTTTAAAAAGAAGCCAAACTTTTGAAATGTCGAGGCAACCGGCAGTGGGAGGGCGCTGCGGCTACTGAGTGCATGTGGAGGCTTGCTTTGCCAATAAACTGTCATTTGCCGCATTTCGCTCTGACTGTTAGTTGGGGAGCTAAAGCCAATGAAGTGAGCACGTACATAAGCTCTTCGTTAGACTAGTGCCAAGAGATAATGAAAGAGACTAAAGAACGACGTGTGTGTGTCTGTGAAATTTTGCTACATACTTGACAACACTTTTACAGACATTACAGTTGCTTAGCCAAGCATATGGGGAGGATTGTATGAGTTGCACGTAGCGCTATGAGTGGTTTAAATGTTTTGACACGGCAGAATGTTCGTCGTCACCGGTCCCAAGCCTGAACGATCTTTCACATCAACAGACGATGGCCGTGTCGAGGGAGTTCGTGCTATGATCCGTGGAAATCGTCGTTTAATTGTTTGAGAAGTTGCCTAACGAAGGGGCATCAGCGTACGATTTTGCCATTAAATTCTAGCCTGCTTGGGGAATTCGGTGCGCAGGAAGGGGCCTGAACTGTGGGAAAACCAGACTTCAATGTTGTGTCATAACAGTGCGCTGGTTCACCCATCGCTCTTGTCCGCAGCTATCTCCCAAAACAACACACTTCCGTTGTGCCCCGTCTGCAGTATTCCGGGACCTAACCCCTGCAAACTTTTGCCTGTTTCCTAAACTTAATACCACGTTGAAGACGTAGATACTAAAGCTTAGAAAACATTCAGGACCATGCGTCAAGAAACCTGCATGCCATCACAGAAAATGGATTCCAGTTGATTTACCCGAAATGGAAGCACCGTTGGGAACGGTGTATTGCCAGTAGGAGGGATTAGTTTGAGGAGAATGGGCTTAAATGTTGTGCAATGAGCAACGAAAATGTTGTAGCAGTAGTTCGGTTTTTTGAGTACCCCTCGTATTTCGCACGCTACCGCAATGACTAACGTAATTGCACACATCTGTATTTGTACTTCATTTCAATTACCAGAACGCGTGGAATAACGACCAGTTCCTCCATGTACTTGAGGATGGCCAAAACATTCTGCCAACGATCCACGTCAACGACCTCGCTAAGTAAGTCACTGCATTACACCGCTGTTCCTAATGTATTTCATCTGCCTGCAATGAGGTGTTCCTGGTTCAGCTGAACGCAGTGCTCCGCCTCACTGAGCAATCTTCTGCATAGACGTTGAGTTGAAACCACAACGTCTCGGTAGCATCTCATCTATCGCATGTACTAATAGTTATCCAAGTTGAGCTCAAACTGCATTTAACCTCAAGAATCCAAGGTGCACAGAAACCTTAGTCGAGAGAAACGAACTCAGTTCCCGTGGAAACCACAGGGCGAGACCCGCTTTTATCGAGAGTGGCTGAGCCGCATCGCTAGAAAGGCGTCCATGAGTAACATCTTCAATACGGTTCGTTTAAGTGTAAAGACTTTAGAAACACAGCCAATCTATTCCTAGGTACTCGGTCAACCGCAAATCAGCAAGTTAAAATCCTTAGCCGGTAGAAGCTCAGACGGTTTCGACGTACCAATCAAACTCTTGTGCATCCATATCAAACGGCATTGCAGATGACTTGACGTGTCAGGGGAAATGAGCAAGCGAATATATCCGTTGCTACTCCGTGGTTGACAATGTCATTTTCAGGTTTTTTTTACCTTCCATACCGCCCCTCACTACTCCTGCGATTGATATATTTTAGAATCATTCAAACGGTGATTGAACTGCGGCCGACTAAACATTACATCATTGCAAAGGATGATTCGCAAAATACGCTGTACGAAATCGTAAAAGTAAGTGAGGCAATTCGAGAAAGCGAGAAATCCATTAGACTGTTTTCGATTTGCTGTTTTTCCTTTAGTTGTGAATGCAGCATCGGGTTCTGCCCTGCTGCAACATCAAAGATATGTTGAAAACACTGATAACTCAGGCTCAGTGCTCAGATGCTCATTTGCTCACCGAGATTGGTAGTCGCGCTGCAAAACTTTCATCACCTGACGCGATGACACCATTGGTGCGCAGCCCTACACACTGATGTTATCACCTCATCTGGTGATGAAACGTCAGCTACCTGACTACCAAGCTCGGTGAGCACGGGAACACCTGACTATTCTGCAAATTGTTCATTTAATCACGTATGCAGAGCATAGTGTCCATCCTAGGTCAGTAGAAGATAAAGCTAGAGATGACTGATTGCACAGGATCATCCATTTACATTCGCATGTAGACTTCAGCCAACAGCTGCCCGAGAAGAGGTTAAACGCAAATATATCATCCAATGAAGTGAATCAGTCGACGGAACGCAGTTAGTTACTGTTAGTCAAACGCCAGAGCCAATTAGTTTTCATTGTCCAGAATACGTGCAACAAGCTTTTGAAAGCCTATCCTTCGTTGGTCCAGACCAGGAAATATGTCAATGGTTAACTTTTCTTTCCATGCTGGGGGAGTTTGGTGAGCCATGATGATGCATTTTAATTGTTCATCTATGATACCAACGCTGAACAACAATCGGTTCATCTGCTTTGACTTGTAGTAGAGAGAATGATAATTTATTAGTAAAACGTATGTAAACTGACAGGGGCATCGCCATAAGAAAAGAGAAGTGAACGTAGTTGACTGCCGGATGAAAATGTCAACGGCAATGGACAAGGGACCGAGAGAGACACTGATATGGCGACAACGTCGTATCGAATAAGGTCTCTAACCAATGATGTGGCCAATCACCCAACTCCATCAAGGAAAATGACGTGTGTCTGTCTAAATGCTTCCGCTGAACAGGTTTATATGTCTACCAGCGGTGCCTAACGCACCGCTTCACATCCCCACATTAGGGCGGCTACACGCCTCCTGCGGGCTACTCTGGTGAATCAAATCACTTGCGACATACCTATTAAGTCACCCTGTGGAAATAATGAATGGCTTCTGCGCATAGCATTACTCCAAGGTGTCAGAGTAGCAAAATAGTTAACCTTTCTGATTAATACTCGTTTGATCCCAGGATTTGCTATAGCAGCCACTGCTACGCAGCAGGTTCTAAGTTTCACTAACTTAGCAAATTGTTACTGCGCTAGATTGTAGAAAGGAACATGGGAGTAGACATTGCCTACAACTGAGGTAAATGTGGTGTAATTTTCTCCGTATTGCTTCCGAAAAACACTATGGTTATCCGGAATAGAGGTTATGGTAGTTTAGGTTTATCAGTAAATCGTCACCGCCAGTAAACATGTGCGCACGTCTAGGTAGCTTGTTCAATAATAACAAGTACATTCATTAAATTCAATGCACTGACCTGTCAGTGTGCAGGGTGTTACTTGATTGTGCAGGGTTATAAATTACGCGTTTTGGAAAAGACTTTAGTTAGAATTATACTATATTTGTTTCTAATTTCCTCTGCCTTCGCACTGGGTACTCTCATCATGTGCCTCGACTCTTTTCGGTTGTTGTAAGTCACTTTCAGGTTCGGACAAATCGGGTCATCACACATTTGGTCTATATTTGGAATGCCCACCGTATTTCCAAATTAGTGCATGCGGCTTCTATTTGGACCGCGATCTACACCGAAGTAATCAAACTATTTTCATCGCTGCTATCACCCCAGATGTCAGTTCGTTAGGGACAAGCGGTCTGTCCAGCAAAGCCAAACAGGCGCAAATGGCAGCACTTTCGACTCACAGAATCTTCGAGATATACCGTTAGCTTACTTCCATAAACAACGATATTCTTGGTCGGATTAGGTTCATTTTCTGACTCGGTTATCCAAAATGACAGAAATGTCAGTCAATCGGAATTGTGTGTGCGGATTTCGAACCCCACCGTAGCAAATGAACGAATCCCCTATCTGCTTCTTCCATTGGTTGTCTGTTTCTTTGTCCATATGACTACTCCGACTGTACACTTTCTTCACAGGAATCATATCAAAAGATGAGACAGTTACAACGCTACCTGCTCCTAACGCTGCCCTCAGCGACCCGTTTCGTCCTTCTACGGACTAGTATGTTAAAGACACTCAGGGCTATCATTCGATCTTTGTAAATGATGGCTTAAGGATTTGCAACTAAATCATCGCCATTCGGGTCTAACAATAGTGGCAATGGTTACGGTTTTAACCAAACTCATCCACTCTTTCTTACAATGTCCAAAATAAGCCCGAAAAGGCTCTTGCATCGCAGGATCAACAGTGCCATCTCCCCTCTTTCCTCTACACATGCAAATTTGTTTAACTCTCATATTTCAAGTTGTGGACGTCCGACCCATTATCTCATCACTTGCCCTGATTGTGTTAGTGTATAATCAAATACGCCTGATTGCACGAGGGAGCCACTGTGATGGAATTGGTGTGCACGATGCAGCAGTCGCACCAACGAAACCTCTGAGGCGACCAATCAGATGCGAACCCAATGGCCTCGGCTGCTAGCCGCACCCAGCTCCGCTGAATGAATGACGCTTACCTGTAGTCAAGAGGGAACACTGTTGTAGAATTACATCGGTGCAAGTTGTATTCTCCCAACACTGTTTGGTTTTCCCCAGTAAACTTTTGTCTGTGAAAGACCGAATTCTAAGACAGCCATCTATAAATGTGACGAATTGGTACGTTCGCATGGGATACAGGGTCACGAAGCGCAGCTGCCCACACATCTCGTTAAGTTTTGAATTGATAGGATGCCGAATTCATAACACGAGCAAGGTTACTTTTTGAATGCACCTCAAAACATCGGTAACGCACTTTTCAAATACCTGGACCTTAGTAATTACCGCGAAAAGCGTTACCACTAGATGCATGCAATCTTTGAGAACATAAAATAATTATCTCTTGACACCCATGTCCTTCCAGATGACGGACAGCCTTAGGTTGGACAAATAAGGGCTGCGGACAATAAGGTGGGTGAACGTCATGCTTGCCCATTACCTGACAGTGTACAGGTTAGCGACCTTCGGATGCACCATTGATGGCGCAGCGATGCAAACGTTGGAAACAGTGCGCCTTGACGATGATGAAAGGTCAATAGGTCTGAATAAAGTAATCCGAAGATTCAGCACTGAGGTAGTACAGATAACGAGAGAGCGGTTCGTAAGTTGGTTCTCCAATTCCATAAATCTAGGCGCGTCGGTGATCAATCCTAATAACATTGCGCTTACCCACCTTTGACGGTGTTCTATCTCCAACTGGTTAGAATCCCCATTAAAGTCATTTTAGGACAACTCGTGGATTTTGGATTGCTTCAGAACTCTGTATTTTCATAATACATCGAAGAGTAGAAGGTCTGTGACCGCCAATATTGCTAGGTCGCCTATGAATATCTAGAATAGACACAGCCATAGTGCGAGATGTGAAAGCACTCAGCTTTGACTGGGTCTCAGCCTTCTATTTTTGGGTCTGAACTGATTACCGGATAAAGCTATTGACCTATGCATCATAAGATCGTTGTTCCTGTCCAGAACATACGACTTATACGATTCGCTACCCAATTACGGTATGACATCGAGGCTAGAGTTGGTACGAAGTACTTGCTTGACGGAGTGCCGTGACAAATCAGCCAGTTTTTAGACTAATGTATGCAAATCTGCATTAGGGTAAGAAAGGTGAGTTGCTACTTCCGTAAAATGAGATTGTTTACTCAAGCCGAAGATCGCACTAATCGGGGTTTCAAATGCTTGGGTCTTTTGCCGCAGAAATTATGGGGTCCAGTTTGGAGTCGGATATGTTCAAGGATTTTACCAATCAGATCGTGTTTGGCGATAGTGTGCCGCTTGTCAGGACGTTGCATAAGTACCATGGAGAGTCCTATAGGACAACAAAAGCATCTGCAGCACATTGCACTTAATCACAAAAATGTGTTTTCAGCTGGATACAGAAACGTCTGGGTTAAGTGGAAATGTCGGCTTCAGTTGTCATAAGTGAACTAGAAGTTATGCTGTCACGAGTAAGCAAGGTATTTGTTTAACAGTATAGCAACAGATGAAGGGTGGTCACCCTACGGAAACTGCAGCCAACGGGCCACGCATCTGCGCAGATCATAACGCAGTTGTTCTCAGTGAGAACGAGGCCAACATATCCTGCAGTTTCCACTGGATCCGCCCCAGTGTTACCATCGTAACTACCGGGCTCCCCTCAAGTCGACAGTGTCTCCTGAGCAGTGTTCATGCAAAAGTATTAGCTACCGAACACCCTAAACAACTGTGATGTATCCAACGTCTCAACAGCATCGATCCGACCCATCTCTGTCCGGGGAGAGAGTCATTACATGACAATTCATGTGCCAACAAACGTACACCTTTCCTTATAGCTTATACATTTACTAACGTCTTAGTAAACTGTAAATATGAAGGTGTAGCAAACAAGGTTGCCTTGGTTGAGTCGGTAAACGCACCCTTACTATTGGCCAGTCTTCTTTCTGCGGGCCTCGGTATAGTTGTGGGTTATTTACGCGTTCCGTCCAACTTCTCAGTTACGAGTTCATGTCTGCCAGCTAACTCAAATAGCCATACCAATTCCAATCGTCTATGCTACTCTGCACGCGGGAACCAACAAGTGAAAGAGTTCGTCCGTTCCGACTAGGACAGTCGAAGCCCAACAACAATGAGAAACACACTTCAGCTATTGTGCCGTAATAGATAAAGATAAGAAATGCAAAAAAGCAAGATAATGAACATTAGAGAAGGTAAAAAAGGTAACACACTACCTAGTAATATATTAGAGAAAGCGCGGTTGGGGGTGGAAGATAAGCGGGATAGGGAGGAATAAAGAGACTCACAACACAAACGCCACCGAGATCGGCTCCATGTCATGTCAACTAGTGTATCCAACCAAACGTGTTCATCGTCGTTCGGATCCAAGCCCCGCAGTCGGGAAACACCAAACGACGCCAACATCGAGGTGAGGGACTTCACTCCTCTTGACCAATTCATCGCTTGGCCTCCCCTTAATTTCCAACACCCACCCACCCCCGGCGAGCAAACAACGCACGTCGCGGGAGTCAGTGGGCTGACATGCGCAACACGTGGCCAAGCCATCGGATCCTGGCGCGTAACATAACGGTGCTGTGCGGTTCACTCGCTCTTCTTGCAACAAATACACGATGCCGAACACGCTCATTGCTCACGCGTTGCTCCCACCAGACATGAGCTAACCTGCGAAAGCAGCGGTGACCGAACGTGAGTAGGCTCTTTATGTCTGTCGACTTGATGGGCCAGGCTTCACAACCGTACAGGAGGGTTGAACGGACGACTGCATTGTAAACTCTGCCCTTCAGGGCGAGAGCGATGGTGCGCCGGCGTCACAGGTGGTAGAGATTGGCAAGAGTATCGAGCACTTGATATACGGGTCTCGACCACATCCTCTATTCAACGGGCGCTAATATAGCTGCCTGTACACTTTAATTTCTCGAAGACTTCTAACTGGTCGCAACCAAGGGTCAGCGTAGGAGTGGATCTCTGACAATGTTGGAGAACTCTGTATTTCGAGAGTGCAAAAAATAGCCCGAAACGGCTGACAGTCAATGCTAATTTGTCCAGTGACATATGACACGGTTAAAAGCTGTCTCAGATAAGGGCAAGGTCGTCGGCTTAGTCCAGGCCTTGTAAGTCGTGTCCAGTGAACGCAGCTTCCATGACATCATCAATGGAGAAGTTAAGGAGGAAAGGTAACAGCGGGTATCCTTGTCTTACACTGCTGGAGACATTGAAGGGCGGCGACAGTTTGCCGTAAGCTCTCACTCTGCCCGAACTGTGCGCATAAAGCCCTTAGACAACGTTTACATATTTTTTCGGGCACACCTTTCCCAAGTAAACAGTTCCAAAAGGCACACGGATCAAGTACCTCTGATGACGAGGAACACGACTACGGTGGTTCGCTGATAAATCTGCGGTGCTCCAACAATTGACGTAATGGAAAGATGTCATCAATACAGACGTGACTGCAATGAAACCCGGCCTGCTCCTCGAGAATGTGGCTTTCACGTGTGCCAGCAAGTCTATGAGGAATGACAGGCAAGATTCTTAGAGGCAATCGAGATTAGACTGATACCTCTACGATTGCCGCCTCCCGAAGGTGAGCCACATTGAAAACTGGGACTTTTATGGCGCGGCTGCAGGGTATTGGTAGAGTTTCAGGCTCACACAGCAGATCATCTACAAGATATATATTGCGCGGTCAAAATACTGTCAGGTTGCCCAGGTTTAGACAGGAGAACGATTAGGGTTCTCAACCGAAAGCGTGGGATCAAAAACCTGACCTCAAGGTAGCGGGATTTCGACGATGGACTACAGAGAGCCAATCTTATGGAGTAAAAAGTTCACCTCACTTTGATCTCCAACATGGAGAGTCAGGAGACTCATTTCGTCTGGCCTCTAACCATTGACCAATCTGATATGAGTGCATTTGTAGGTGCAAAAAGCAAGACTCAGCATTGCTCAATGGATCAATGAAGCACACAAACCGTCGTACCACGTTAAGGTGCAGTCTCATCGCGATGGAAGAACAATGCGAACGTCTGCTGTTCGGGAGCCCTAATATTCCTGGTGAGCGCACCGCAGGAGTCAAAAATGACAGCACTCGGTGTATATGCGAGAGAAATGACGGGTATGCAGGAAGCAAAATTCGTATGGCCACAAGGCAGAAGCACCAGAAGAAGCTAGCACGACCCAGGGCATCAACAAATGTCAACGGCGAACAGATAACCGTCAGCATTAATTGGGCTGAATAGACGTAGTTCAATCTCAACCGAATTGTAGCGAAAGCAAAGTTTGCGCTTCATAAACGCGGTTTAATGAAATCAAAAGAGGGCGGCTATATTATAAGCACACTAGCAACAATGAGTGGATATACGTGAAGCGGAGAGGCTTAAACGCCTTCATAGCTCTCTTGGCTACACAGCGTGGGATTCAATGGGTTGACTGACACAAACAGAAGGAGTAATAAACGAGCCATCCAGGCGACGGAAAGGACAACAGTACGGAATCGCTTCGTTAAGAAGACGAAACTCTGTTACTCAGTGAATACTCTCATCTCGTCTCTGGTATATCTCCAGATCGACCGTTAAATTTGTGGTTCATGGGCGCTCTTCTAGATGGAAGGTGACACCCGTAACCACAAAGCGCGTGAGTAAAGGCATCGGACTAACATTTTTATCATTATCGCATTCGCGCAACCCGTAAAACACTGTGCTCTGAGCGTTCGGAGAAATGAAATGCGACCGCCATGAATAGTGATGCAGCAATATATATATATATATATATATATATATATATATATAAATCTGAGGATAATCCATACTAACGCAGTTAACTGTGGAAAAGTGCCGATGTGAAAGTAAGGTAAACGGGAACAAACATGCCGTAATGAAGAGGCAAGGTGGAGTAAACATTTTTAGCGGCAGCAGACGCATTGACTATAAACAGCAGTTCTCGGTCGATTATCAGACTCTTGGTTATACGAAGTTGTAGCGCTTATAGCCCGATGGAAACGTCGTCTGTGATTCAATTAGACTAAGCGAAAGGTCATTACAATCAAACATCAACAACTTTTGACGCTCTCGATATAGACAGATGAGGTGAACATCAGTTGAGCAAATGTTTCGGTGATCTGGGTTCCAGCACTCAGCAAGTAGCGTGATTTTCCCGGCCAACTAAGCATGTGGACAAACATCACCTGTGATATAACACCAAGCCTGTGAAAACCTCCTACAATCTGAGTGTTGACGCAACAGTCATAAGCAGTTAAACGACGTAAGACAAACTGGATGGTAACACAGTTGTAGCCGTGAAATAGAAACCAACAGGATGAGAAGAGAAATGAAGCTTCAAATTCGCTCACCTGCAATCCGTGCTTGATTCGTGCAACAGCCCGTGTGATCTTCCTGGTGACAAATGTTTCGCCCCGACGGGGGCTCTCATGATTGAAGAGAATACCAGCGCACGCAAACAGACCGTACGATTCCCTATAGTTTATGACAATCCAATGGGCGTACAACTTTGCGACTCCTGCAAAAGCCACAACGAAATTATAAGTGAACCAGCAAATTCGAATGCACGTGATAGGGTTTTAATAAATGTGCAGGTGGAACTTGCACACGGCTTCATGGGTTGATCTAAGGAGGCACCAAAAATTCAACAACGCTAAGGATAAAAAGCAAACAGAGCAAGACAAGTTGCGCAACAGCAGGAGAACCAAGTGATTGCACAAACATGGTGGATATTTTAAAGGAAACAAGCGATAGAGAAAACCTGATAATAAGTCCCAAATGTTAGTGAGTGGGGGAGCCCGGATATCCGAAGATAAAAAGCAAGTGTATAAAGTAGTCACGGGCGTTAAAGATGAAGGAAGGTGAAAAGAGTAGTTAGCAAGATGATTGAAAACATCTGATTACATGGGCGTAAAACTGGTTCTGGTAGTGTAATTTGGGTCCGGCAGCCAAAGAACTGGATGAAGGCGGATGATAAAGACGAAGGGAGAGGAACGAGGACGCAAGGTATCCCTGACGACCATCGTCAATGGAAATGAACTTGGGAGAGGAACTTTCCGTAGATACGAAGTCCATATGTGTATTGTAATGGTAGTACAATTTCTCTGATATGGGCTTCAAAGACATACAGCGCAGACTAAAAGTGGGATTCGAACCAAGAAAGAAAAGTAGCCAAACAATGACCTGGTCAAGAGGAAGAAAAACCCTTAGTTCGAAATTGGCATCGGTTGGAGTCTCTGAGCTCCTTGGTTGGGGTCCGAAATACGATGAGCATGTCTGGCTGAATACAATTGTTGATATAGCAAGGAGTTGACCTTATTGGCGTTTGTGTTGTGGGTTTCTTTGCCCCTCCGAATCTCGCTTAACTTCCCCCACCAACCATCATCTTACTGACTAGGCATAAGGAAACCTGTGTTGTGATGCAACAGCCGACTGGTAGATATCTGGAGCAATGTCCATCTGTTACTATTGACTCAGCCGACGTGCCACTGTTGCACATTTTTCTTCTCCTTACCTTATGTATTGTGTGGTACAATAGCTGAGGCATTTTCCACCACCAGCAAACGTGCATAATGATGATAATGAAGTTAAAATAGACAGTCATGCGATCAATGCACTCCCTACCGAGATGGAATCCAGTATGGTAGTTAGTGAGTCTAGTGTGAACGATAAGGTTGGGTCGAAGTGTGAGAGTTAGCTTAGGAATCACGGTGAGAAGAATCATAGCGTGGTGAGTTTCACGAAGTCCTCAGGTCGTTGTTAAAATACCGAATGAAAGTTAACAATCGACTAGTGGGAGTACTTGCTCGTCACGCCATATAGTGTCAGCTAGATCAGAGCCTAGTGCATCTTCACGGTTTTCAGCGGCAACAGAGAAGAGGTATACCAGCCAACAGCTGCAAACCGTGGTGGACCTAATCGATGGCGGAGGTTTTGAGTTCCACAGCCCAATTAAAATTAGGTAAGTCAACTAACAATGTCGACGCGGCCTGCCCGCAAACTAACGTATCATGTGACATGTCAGTGCAGATCAGCCCTCAGGTTAACCTTTTGTCGCATTTCTAAGAATTGTTCCGTGATCGGTGTGGTGGATGAGTTGGAATGCTGCTCAGCTGTACCATATGATACCGAAATTCTGTCCAAAGAAGTACCGTGGGTACAGTGTATGATCCGATCTGAGTGACCAGATCTGCCTATACAACATAAAACAACGAGATACACCGGTAAAAATCGGTGAATCTACCTCAGATCCAACAATTTGTCGCTTTACTATGAATGGAGCTACAGACATTGTGGGAGGGCGTAGTGGTAAATGTTTCGTTAACTACGACACAATCGGTGTTATTGTTTAGTGTAGAAACATGGGCACATGCTAAAGAAAATATTAAGAGGTTACTTGCATCTGGCCAGTGATGTGCGAGAAATATTGCTCATATCCGCTGGAGATGCGGAGCAGGCAATACTGAATCCCGCCAATAGCTGTTCGAAAAAAAGACACTCCGGGGCCACATAGAAACGAATAACGTTGGTTAAGCAATGACTTCCGTGTGCCTTAGGATCACCCACCTCGACGTACATTGTTTGACGTCGCTGCACCCAGTTGGGCGAAGCTGCGAGCTGGTCAGTAGTCTACATGGCTGAGACATAAATACCTCAGCGGAAAAACTAGGTTAATATGGATGATGAACATGTGATCTTCGTCACGCCAGAGACTTTATCCAACGTGACGCAATCGCAGTCAGTGGCGTCGCTGCATTCGGCCCTTTGCAACTGACCGTTTACAGAGCAACTACATTACTATTACAAACCAAAATTTCCTAGCTTAGCTTTGTCCCATTCAACTTTGTGTTTCATCTCCTTCTTTTCACCGTCGTTAGTTATTAGCATCAGAGCGGTAGGAATCATGTCAACCTAGTCCTTTAACAGGGTAAATATAGTATAAGCAGAGAATGAAAGTGAAATGTGCATGCAGACAAGGGCAGCAATATCAGAACCTAGGGTGAGGGCAGAAACCAGATATCTGTGGATAACCAACTTATAGAAGTTCCAGTGGGACCGATACAGACAGTATTCGCGAACGGAGGAAGAAGATGCAGTCAACCGAGCAAACAACAGCCATGTTTAAATTAGCGGAACAGCTCAACAACCACCGAGTATACAGCTTCGATTGATTAAATCCAGTGAGTTGAACAAAGCGCGTCACCCGAAAAATATAAATGACAGAAAATGAGGATTTGCAGCCGATGAACTCACGTAAACCGAAAATGATGTACAGCTAAGTAAAAAGGCAGATATAGAAAAAATGGGGACGAGGGTACTCGTTAGGAACATCAATGTGGAGCACCAAGTAACTGTAATAAATAGCGAAACAAACCAAAAATTCAGTAAAATACGGAATACAAATGAAAAACATGCAAATTCCCAAAGAGGGAATTCGTAGCCGTAAACAAACAGATGAGTACAAATATATCCAAACAGATGAGTAGCTCGGAAAACCACCCAAAAGCGAATGGTAGTTGCAAACTAGCCACCCAGAGAGGAGAACAAAACAAACACCAATTATCAAGTAACTTGAAAATTCCCATTTAGAGTCAAAAGAACACGAGACCATAGGTGAACAATTGTTTTCGATGATTCTCTTCAAACCAGTACAATCACATTTAAGAGTAAAATAATGAACTGAAATCAACTCATTGGGTCAAGTTACATAGTTAATTAACAGATCAGTGAGGGAGGCTAAAAGTTGATCATTGATCTGACTGGTCGATTGCATGTTATCGAGCTTGGTTGGTGGCAATCGACCTCAGTATCGTTCGTTCTAGCTGGCCAGGGAAGCTGTAAGGCATGAAGCAACTTCTTTTGCGAGCATAATGAAGGTTGCAACAACCGAATGCAAATGGATTCAGCTGTCGCGAGCGCACGGAGGCGTAAACCTCTTGATTGATGATGGGGGACCCTGTAAATTATCCTGAAGGCACGCTTTAGATCGACTTGGTGCCCCGTGTCGACAATATGGGCCAAAACGGCGCTGCTAATGGCCCCAGTTCCTCCTTGACGCAACCAGCGCGGGCAGTGCTCCTTCACGCGTTTGGACAAGTGCCTTGCTGTTCGACCAATATAAGTAGCGTCACAAACGCACTTGAACTGATAAATAACCATAGATGAGGTCAGCATTGGCAGTGTATCCTTACTGCGTGAACAAACAAGTGGTTCAGTAGAAAATGTGCACTTTAACCTGGCTGCTGGGAATGTCGACTTGACTACCGCTGAAAGACTTTTGCTTAGGCGCTCGGCAGCGGCATCCCCCTTAAAAGGTATTCTTAAAAATAACTTCTTCGCCGCGGTTAAAACTGGTACCGGATTGGGTTTTTCTTCAAAATTCTTTGAAACAAATCTATCAGGATAGCCATTCTCGCGCAGCGTATTCTTTATAAAGGCTAGTTTCTCATCCAGGGTGTCCTGTGAGCAAATTCTACGTGCTCTTGTGGTAAGGCAGAGGACTAAGTTTCGCTTATATCTCAGTGGGACGAAACTGTGAAAAATCGTATATTGACCAATCCACGTACTTTTCCTGTAGACTTTCCGCTGGATGGAGTCGTCTGGCCTCCTAGTTAACAAGACATCTAGATATGGAAGCTGATTGCAAGTTTCTGTCTCGTAGGTAAATTGCAGTGCTGCGTGAGCCCGGTTAAAACGATTGAGAACCCCATCCAGATTTATGCCTTTATCCGCCACTATAAATATATCATCCATATAACGATGATAGTGATCAAAAGATCTTATCTCAGCCTGCAATTTTGTTCGCTCCAATTTGGCCATGAATATATTTGTGAACAATGGACCGAGGGGGGATCCCATGGCTACGCCATCCTTTTGCCGGTAAAATTTTTCATTAAATAGGAATTTCACATTCCATGTGCACCGCAGCAATAAGTTTTTCAATTCAAGCACAGGTATACAAATCTTAATTTCCAACTTCGTTATCTGTTCGCAAATGTAATCGATGGTTTCGATCAGCGGGACTGAGGTTTACGCCTCCGTGCGCTCGCGACAGCTGAATCGATTGGCATTCGGTTGTTGCAACCTTCATTATGCTCGCAAAAGAAGTTGCTTCATGCCTTACAGCTTCCCTGGCCAGCTAGAACGAATGATACTGAGGTCGAGTGCCACCAACCAAGCTAGATAACATGCAATCGACCAGTCAGATCAATGAGCAACTTTTAGCCTCCCTCACTGATCTGTTAATTAACTATGTAACTTGACCCAGTGAGTCGATTTCAATTATCAAGTAATTGACGAATGGACGCAAGCCCTTGATGGAAATGTGGAAGCAATAGAACAAGAACGACATCGGTTTACAAGTCTGATCAATGAGGCAGCACAGAAGATAGGTGAACAACTATCGTATATGAAAAATGCAGAACGACTGTGGCAGTCTTCGCCTTCGTTGAGCAAAGTAAAATAGGGAATGGCAGATTTTTAAGCCGAAGGAATACATTTCGAAGAGTTCGCATTCCG